TCCTGGTGCATGCCAAGGGCTGCACCTTTTCTGATGGGGCTCCTTGTACCTTCCAGCACTGGCACAGGAGCTGTCCCCACCCTCCCAGTGAAGCACAGGCAGAACAGCCAGGCCACAAAGCTCTCCAGGCTCCTGCAGTGCTGGTTTCACTTCAGGCCACAGCTGAACAGTCATTAGTGTTTACAAAACAAGTTTCCAGAGAAGTAAAATTACACACCGAGGAAATAATAAGCAGCAATGTAATCAGATGAGAGAAAGAGATCATTTCATTACCTGAACCAGGCTTCATTATTCACCATTTCCCTGGCAAGAGCTGATAAATGCAAGCTAATGAATCTTTGCACTCGGACGAGTAGTTGGAACTGCAGGCTCAGTGCTGCCACATTCAGAACAGCCCAGGAGATCCAACTGTCAGCTGAAAGCCCAAGAGGTAAAATAAGAACTCATCCATTGCAGCACTGCAGTGAGAAGAGGGAGAGGATTTAACCATGCCTGGCTTGGTCTTACAGAGTCACCTTGGCTGTGGGAATGCTGTGGCTACTATATGGCTCAGGGGAACAAACTCTAAACATCCCAAGAACAATAGTGTGACACTGTGAACACTGGTGATATGTGCAAAACTCAGAGCCAGATCTTTGGGAAAAGCCTTTCAGGACCAATAGTATCAGTCCTGACAGTTCTTTCCCCATCCCAACTGTTAAATATCATTCACAGCCTGCTCATGATACAAGATAACTACAAAGACAGAGGCAACAGCATCAACACACAAAAAGCAGGACCTTTGTCCACTTCTTTGGCACTGTCATTTCTTTAACACAGTTCCCTGTTGTTATTCCTCCTCCTAAAAGCAGGGAAACGGGAAACGCACCACTGTAGATAATTATTTAAAAAAACAACCTCGTCCCCCCAGAAATCCCAAAACACAAACAAACAGAAAACAGAAATGCTAAAGAAAATATCCGATAAGGGCAGCAAACTTCCTTAACATTAATGAATTCTCAGAGTTGTGAAGACAATCTCTGCTTTTCCTATACTTTCTGCATGTGTCACCAGCAATGTGGATCCCAAATTTTATATGAAGAAGCAGAACATTTGGCAAGGCTCCTCTGGAAGGAGCTTAGCATCTTAACAGCCCACATAAGATGAAAACCTATTCAGAGAGGAACACATATGTCCTGACATTAAAGGGAAATACTGCCCTCATCTGTCTTCCAGTGACAGGTTTTATTTTCCTGCCTAGTATGCCTAAGCCATTCATCACTTCCAGGATGAAAAGGTGACTCTGTTGTTGCAACCAGCTCCAAGTCCGTGCTCGGACTCAAGCTATTAAGCAATGCTGCTATTGGTAACTGGAATCAATATGACCATGTTGCTGCAACAGAGTTTAAATGTAGAAATTTCTTGATTCTCTACACTGAAGGCAGTGTCTAGGCTCAAAAGAAGAGAATCATTTGTAGATTCTTTATAAAACTAAAACCAAACAAAAAAAAAATTCCTAATGCCAGGAGAACAAGAACACTGAGATGCAGCACAGGGATTCAGCAAGAGCAGAGCAACCCCTGCTCCTGAAGCCATTTGCACACTCATGCAGCAGGCAGGGATTTGGGCTCTGGATGTCTGCAGTCCAGACAGTTATAGAAAGCACTGAGAATTAGGTTGTTTTGCCTCTTTCATCCACACTGGCAAGAATCCATCCTACACACACGCACACATATATACACAGGAGGCACGTTTTAAGCACCCTCAGTTCCCCTCAGGAAGGTGAAATGAAGGAGCAAATAAACACACATTCATTCATATTTCATAAAAGTATAAGCTTTGAAGCTGGAAAATTACATCTAGTAGACAAAGTATAGCACTAGCTGGTTCTGTAAGGGTTTGGGGTGCAGAAGGATCCTCTATTAAATGTTCCTCAGTGAGATAATGCCACTGGCCAGCCCACATCCTCAGAAAGTGCTGTGGCTGGTGAAAGTGAAGTTCCTAGCACATATTTGGTGGCATTTCAGAGTTCTAGAGGAGCACAGCTTTTAAAGCAGATGGAGGTGCTTCTCCACCAATGCCTATGCCTTATGGTACTTTTATTGAAGCTAGCCCTGCTGAAACTCCAGGACAGGAGCTGGACAATCCAACTCTGCTTGTTCTCAGTTTACTGATGTCTCTCCTTGCTTGTGCCTTATTCCCCTTAACTCCCATTCCTTTTGATTTTATTTTTTAAATCCCAGATTTAATTAAAGTCTGCATCTCCAAAGTTGAGTATACAGTTTCACAACATCTTAATGGTAGGACCATCATCCCAGATCATCCCAGCACAATCAGACAGGTCTCATTTGATGACAACAAACTGACTCTCTGGCAGCTCAGGGCAGGGGTCTACTCTCAACCACAGAGTCTGGATTTCAGGTTTCCCTCAGCAGCATGATTAGCTCTCACCTAGACAAAGCCCGGAGGTGGTCACAGGCATGGCAGGCACAAGCTTTGTCTGACCTGGAAGGCAGGTGATGAAAACAAGGCTGGATACTTCCTGCCCCGTAGCTCCACACTAAAATCCAGGCTCTTGTGTCCCCACCTAAGGGAGACAGACTGGCCAAAGCTTGCCTGAAACATTTTTAACTATACAGAAATGCTCATAGGAACACTTTTAAGGGGTTGTTTTTTTTTAAACAACCCTGAAATTAATTTTGTTTCTAATAGCTACCTAGTTTCCTGGATGAAAATTTTCAAAACAGTCCTTCCAAACTGATTTTCATAGAAACATCAATCCCAAATGATCTTTTCCAAGATCACTGAAGAAGCAGTGCACTCAGGGCTCCCTGGCCTCAGACCCCCCTGTGACTCACCATCACAGTAGTTTTTCCCAGGTCACCATCTCCAGAGTTTGGTTCATGTCTCAGCAGTCTCTCACTACAGCCTTTTTACCTGACACCTTAATTTGATCTGTCATTTCAGAGCCCTGCTCAAGTGAGCCCTGTGTGCAGCAGCAGGGCCTTCTTGCAGGGCAGCAGATGGCTGGTATGAGCATTCAGCATCTCCTTTGCAAAAAATTTCCTGAATTCTTTCTGAAGCTTCTTCAGAAATCTCCTTCCAGTCTCCTTCCCCACCATCTCATTGCTCTCACTCATTATTTCATTAACTTCCCTCTCCTTCTCAGTCCTGTCTCTTCCCAGGTAAGAACTGCTGTCAGCTCCAGCAGATGGAACATCCTCCTGCTCCCAGCCTCTCCAGGCTGACAGCCTTCTTTTCTGGCTAAACCATGATCCTAAAGCAGCTGGAGTGCAGGAAAAGGGTCCTCTTCACCAGCTTCTAGTACAGGCTCCAGTCCCACAGTCCTTTTTATGAATTCACATTTAATTACTTTCTGTACTTCCTGAGTCCACTCCAAAACAAGACTATTGAACTTTCTAAGACAAGACTTCCTGGAGGTTGAATCTTTCCAGTTCAAGCTCTCAATGGCTTAGGATCATAGAAGCATTTGTGGTCACCAACTCCACACACAAAATTAAAAGTTTCTAGGTCCAAACCCATTAAAAACAGAAAATTATATTTTATTTGCCAGTTCCAAAATCATTAAAAACAGAGGAAAAAAATCACATTTTGTTTGCCATAAAGTGTTGATTTGTCAAAAAAAAAAAAAAAAAAAAAAAAAAAAAAAAAAAAAAAAAAAAAAAAAAAAATTTAAAAAAAAAAAAAAAAAAAAAAAAAACCACACAAAAACTCCCAATATTAAATATATACCAAGATATGCAGCTTGGGCAAGAAAGCCACTATCCACACTCCTTCATGTCCAGAAAAAGTGACAAAGCCCTGAGAGGAAGTGACAGCTGAACACCCTGCTGCTTTGTTCCCAAGGAACCATTATCACAGTGAGAGAGATGTTCCTCAGCACAACAAATGTATTCATTCTCTCCATAGTCTTTTTTCCCCCTTTATCTGGATTCACTTGTATTACAAGTGAAGTCAGTTTCTCTTCACCCAAACCCTTCCTGCCTATGTAGATGCTCAAGTCTGTTCCAAACTGCATTACAAACTTCATAACTTTTCATTAATCTCAGGAGTTCAGCAAATTTTGGAATAACAGCACTACAAGGTAGTTGTAACCTTCACTTTAAGTTCTGTTTCTTTTTGCCCTACCATAACACTGTTTGAGTCTTTGAAAAAAGCACTTTGGGTCTCCTTTGGAAGGGAAAACCCAAATCTGAGTAAAAGAAGCCGAAAACAACCTCATAGGTAAAGCATTGATGAAAATAGGAGAGCAGACAAACCAGAATTCAATGGTTACTCTTTCATTCTGCAGAGCCTAATGACAAAATATGGAAACATGAGGTTTTTGAATTAAAAACAGATGAGGGCTGAGCACAGGGCATGTCACAGAAGATAGCTCTTTAGGGATCCCAAGGGGAATAATGAGAAATAGAAAGCAGCCTGCCTCTCACCATGTTTAAGCCTTATTTCCTGTGATGGCAATTTTTTGTCACTCAATACTTGTATTTGTTTAGACAACATACACACACACACAGAGCATACTCAACATCAAATCCTGAGCAGACACCCAGCACACTGAGCAAGGCTTAAAGAATTATTTGTGTTCCCTGAGCTCCAGTGCCAAGCAGCAGCAGACCCATTCCCTGGGGGGGCAGAGCACAGCAGAAGGCAGCAACTGCACCTCAGGGCACACACACACACATGCACACACACACAGAGCACCTTTGGGCTCCAGCTGGGGAGCACCAGAATGTCTTTACTCTCCTCCACACCTGTATCTGCAGTCCAGCTGGATACCAGTTGGATGGGGTTAGGCATGGCCAGTCCAGCAGCTGGGGAGCCTGCAATGTATTATCCTGCCCTCTCGACCTACATATCTGGTGAGATCTCAGTGCCTAATTGATGTGTTCCTCCCCAAAGACCAAAGCACTAAAAATAAATAATATTACTTGCTTTCATTTGGGGGCTGGATTTATAGGGCAGGGCTGTTAATTCACTTTTTTTTTTTTCTTTTTGCCTAGTACCTTTCCAATATTAAAAGACAAAACCCACATATATACTAAAAAACAGTCATCCAAAGAGCCATCTCAGTGTTGCTTGTATATGATAGCAGACACAGTGGGAATCTCGTGCTCCTTTTTCTTCTGGGGATCCACAATGTGGCTGTATCTCTCTCCTCGGTGACTCTCCAGGTAGGGGCCCCAGTTTGCTGCAGGCCGGCAGCAGCTGACAATGCGCTGCAAAGCAAAACCAAGAGACACTTAATGTTTTTACTTTTAAAGTTCAGTAAAATTATAGCTCTAGACATGCACTCAACAAATGGCAAGTCACCCAAGTTGTTTAAAATCATTCCAAATATATTTAGGCCCTATTCTGGACACTGAAGTCAAAGAACAGGGAAAGCTGTGACCAACACAACTGTTTGGGAAAGCTCTCCAAGAGCAGAATATCTCAGATCTGTCACTTGCTTCTGTGAGGAACTGGAGGCAAAACTCCAGAAAATTATAAGGGGATAGAAAGCAATAGAAATTCTTCAGAGAATTTAAAGGAGCTAGAATAGCAACAGAACTACTGAAAAAATCTTTCTTGAATGGTGTGTGTGCACTCCCAGAGAATTAATCTTCTTATCAGAACATGGTAGGGTAGATGCAACTTTGATGCAGCTACCAGAGATAATGCTTTGGTCTAAAAATCCATTTGAAAAACATGTCAAAGTAGTGGATGTGTTAGAGAAGAAAGCACAGGTGGTCCTGATAATACCAAAGAAATTCAGATTTGAGACTATGACAGTGGGGTTTTTTGCCCTTACCTGAACAATGTTTCCTTCAGCTTTAACTATTTTTACAATAGCAACAATGGGAATCCAGATGACACAGAAGATGATCATGCACCAGCCAACAGCAGTTCCCCAGGTTGGGTATAACACTGAGCCATAAGTGGGATTTGCAAATGTGATCAAAGACCAGACCAAAATAGCCTAGGAACAAATGGCAAAAACAGTAAGAGAGAAAAGCATGTTTCAGCAACATTGAATTTGCACTGCTTCCAATTTGGTTTAATAAAAAGACATCTACAAGTCTACAAATTCTACACAGTTCCATCTTGTTTTCTGAGTGTGAGAACAATTGTGCAGGATTTGGTGTTTAGTCATCACCAAACAGCATGACTGAAAGCTAGGACTGAAAAATGACACCAGTGCTGAGATGCACTAAGTATATTTGTGTTTAAACATAACATTTAAAGAGAACCCAGAGATCAAATTATGTTGGATAATATACATGTTGCTGGCTGAGCCCAGTACCCTTCCCTGTATGTTTTATGTGTTCCTGTGTTCCATCATTTACAGGAATACAGGAAAGAAACTAAGATTAGAAATTGGCAAATATTGCTTCAGAAATTGGATAGTTTTAAGCAGCATAAACTATAGTCTGGACAGATTACAGGTAATGTGCTGGCCAGAGTGACTTGCCACTGTTCCTGGATTGGGGATGTTAATACATTCTGTTATAGTAACATAACCCAACCATCTATACTCACATTTGGAAGTACAGGAATAACAAAAACCAGACATGCAACAGGACATTAAAAAGTCTCAGTTAGACAGGAGAACAGCAGAACATCTGACCCAAAAATGGGATTTCCCTCAAAAGGTGTTCAAACCAATCTCAGCCTAAAATTAAGACAATCCAGCTGCCAAGGCAGAGGATCTAATTGCCCTGTGTTAGTCTTTGGGAGTGTAGACCCAGCTCACTAGGAGCTGATCTCTGGCTCCAGCCTCTCCTGGAGAGGATCAAAGGAGGAGGGAGTGTATCAGAAAGCAGAGACAGCCCATAGTTCACTTCACTGGCACAGCTGTGCCCCATCTTTATACACAGAGCCTGGGCAGCCAGCCCTGAATCTTTACAAAGAAACCTCGTTAATATTAAGTTACTAAGTTCTGTCACACTAACACAATCCAGTCATGTGCACACACCATTAACAGCACAGGAGTGATGAAAAACCAGCATACTCTCCACCACAGCCAGAATAAACGACTCTTCTTTCCAATCATCATTTCAATGTCTTCAATGAACCTGTTTCCTCCTGTTGGAAGAAAATCATGAGGCTCACTGTAAAGCAGGTACCTCCTTTGCAGGTGGGGTTACTCAAGAACTATCAAAGAAAGGCAATCATCAAAGATAGTGTCTCCAGTTCTGCATTAAAGGTTTTTTTAAATTATATTATTGTTATTCCAATGGTTAACTTATAAATTCTTCATTGGAGTTATTAGTATTTTATATCCCTGGCACTGTTCAAGGCCGGCTGAATGGTGCTTTGAGAAACCTGGTCTATTGGAAGGTGTCCCTGCCCCTTGCACGGGGTTGGGACAGGATGATCTTTCAAGTCCCTTCCACCCAAAACCATACTGTGACTCTATGATATACACTGTTCCTGGGATTGCTTAGTTTAATTATGTATTTTCAATGCAAATAATTTACCATAAATGTAGACGATGCCTACTATCTCCAGAACAGCTGCAATAAGGATTCCCCATCCAGCACAGAAGTGATCTATTAGGTTAACCCAGTAAATTCCTGCCTGCAGAATAAACATTAGAGGTTAAATTTGATGTAATAACATACAAATAAGATGTGTTTGTTCAAGACAATTTAACTAATCATGACTCTGAGTTTTTAAGTTCACAGTTCTCCAGATCTGTTGGAATCTGAGGTATTGATGATTCCAAGATTGTAAAAAGTCTCTGGTTTTTTTTGCCCTGATGCTAAAGAAGAAGCCATAATTCGTCTGTGCTGTATTTAAGGTTGTTTATTCTTGCTTATCTATAACATGTTATACTGTCTTGCCGCAGGTCTGTCCTGCAGGGTAGCGTGTGGGGCTCCGCCCCTCAGTGGGATGCTATAAACATTATATACTAGAAACTACGTGTGCTATATTTATAATAATGTGCTAATATTTACTATATATGTTGAACAGTGTGTCCCCAGCCTAAACCAATAGAAAAATGCCAACACTACAGTGAAACATGGAGAGCATGAAGAAGGAGAAAAAGGACAAGACACAACCAATTTCCTCCATCTTGTTCCCTTTGAACCCCTAATCTAGAAACTTAAAATGTTACTTTTGCACCCGTGCCAAACTTAAATATTACTTATATCAAACACTCAGAGCTTGCAATTCATCTTGTAAGATTAAAAACTCTTTTCCATGGACAGAGATGAGAGACAGTGTCTCTGGAGGCTCTGTACAGGGGGGTTCCTGACCCCCTGCCATGGTCCTAGGCCCTCCAGGGCAGCCAGAAGGAAGCCCTAAATTCTCACACAGGTCAAATAGAGATTTGTGAATATTATTTTCTTTAAATCCTCTATGTAAAGTTGAAAAGCACCTGTAACAAAATACTATAGATGCTAAAACCAAGATCTATGTATATATAGAGCATATATAAACAGCTGAGAGCAAGATTTAAATTTGGAGCGTACAGGAATAAATCTGGGGCTGAAGTTTTAATACTGAACTACAACAACATCTGTACCAGTTATCAGTTCTGGGAGGCTTCTATCCTCCTACATGCATGACTTCTTCATGGGGTTAACCACAGCTTTTAAACACCAGCCTGCAATAGCAGGATCCCAGAGCAGGAAACAATCTCTGAGGCATTTCAGTCTTGTGTACTAAGTCCCTTGCAAGCTTCCCCACCACCCTGTTTCATGGCTTACTTACTGTGTTTGACCACACAAATGTCTACTCGCCACAATTACCTCCTTCACTTTCTCGGTCTAATTACACACATAAATCTGCATTTCTAGATGGAGTAATTTCAGTGAACCTTTATACCCTTAAAAGCAATTGACTCAAGAAATTTTACACAGTATACTTAAAATTCCTTTTCTGTATATCTATTTATATAAATATACACATGCAGGAGAAGTAACCATGCAATCTACAAATGCTAATAGGGTTTTATCACATGGATAGGCCATTCCTCAATTCCTGTCCTGTTTGGTAGTGAGTTCTGAACAAAAATATCCCATCAGCATTTATTTAGCAGTATCCACTGTGTCACGGACATGTTGTATGTGTGTGTACTTCTGATTACACAAATAAATTCCTGAACTGAGGAACGATAAATCACGCTGATAATTCACAGGCCCTGTAAAGGCCTGCTATTTAAAAGCATGTCTCAGTTCAATAATCACAGAAAACCTTAGGTTCTTCAAGCTTTCACCAGGAATTGCTTACTTGTGTGTTCAGGCACACTGTCAAAATTCAAGGGTCTCTAAAATTTATCCACAAAGACAGGAACAGTTGGAAAGGGTATTTTGATTTGAGTTCATCACTTGCAGCATAACTAAACTCACTACCAATAAAACCTAATTTCTTACCTGAGTAACACAGATAAGCCCAAGAAAAAAGAACATTGCACACAGACCCAGGGTTATAGGCACTCTTAATTTTTTCATCACACTAGGATATATATCTTGAATGGTGGTTGTAAGTGTTTCTGCAAAGGAAGAAGTAGGGAGTTTGAGCAGCACAATTGAGAAAGGCAATGGTCATTTGAAAAGCCGTGAGTCACTTAAAATCCCACTTACCTATGGTGGCAAACTGGGAGTCAAGGCCCAAAAGCAGAAGCATGAAGAAAAACAAGAAGGACCACAGAGGAGAAACTGGTAACTTGGAGAGAGCCTCTGGGTAGGCTACAAAGGCCAGTTCAAACCCTGGAAAGTAGTGGAGAGAAGGATACTATTGTCATGCCTTGGCCAATGCAAGTCCCAGTACCAACAGTGTGACCATCAGCCTACCTGAGTCCACCACCTCTGAGACGGGTCTCTCAGACAAAAATGCCATATGTCCCAGGATGGAGAATATTGCAAACCCAGCAAATACACTGGTGGCACAGTTGGTAACACAAACTAAAATGGCATCTGAGTAGCAGTTGTTGTGGAACTTGTTGTATGAAGACAAAGCAACAAGTCCACCCCACGCCACGGACAAGGAGTAAAATATCTGGGTGGCTGCATCTTTCCAAACCTACCACAAAAAAGAACATGAGAATTACTGTATTACTTACAGTATTTATCATAAACATTTAAGTCTGTCCTCCATTGAAGCTCAAGAGTATTTTTTTTCATTCAGCCTGTATATCTAATTCTATTTCAGATGAATTTTAGGGATGATAGAATATAGCATGCTGGTGACCTTGCAGTCTCGATCACAAACAGTATGTCTATTATATCTAAAATTCACATCCCAAGCATCTTGCCAAATACTTAAATCTTACTGTGCTAACCCTGAAGAAAAGATTAGATTTATTCACATAGGTGACTTGCTGAGCTATGAATCTTGGCACAGAGACAACAAATAAGGACAACCAGGACTGGCTGCAGAAGTGAGAACTTCCATGTACCCTCCCACTTTTGTGACCCAAACAAACCACTCCTGCCCCTGATGTAGCCCCTCAGCTAGTGCCAAGCACTCATAGGAGTACCAAAAATACCACACTTCATGGGTTTTTTTTGATAAAACTGCAATAATACTGGCATAAGACAGAACAAAGAAAGTTGTGGGTTTCTTTGCATGAAGTGCCCTTCCTGATCCACCTAATTACCCAAGGTAATTTCCCAGGCAAGACATGGCCTGAATTTCAAACTCTGGGATCCCTTCAGTCTTATGATAAAGTCCCTTAAAATTATCAGCAAGAACTTTCTTAGCAGATCTTGCTAAGATTAAACTCCAGCATGATCCCCAATAACTATTTAGAGGCAATAGCACCCTTCTCATCACTGGTGTGGCAGGCAGGGGGAAGAAGGTGGCTGTCTTTCAACTTGAAAGTAGCTGGAATAGGGGCTTGGACTTTTTACACAACCAGTTGCTGATACAAAATACACAGCAGGACTGAAGCACCTGACTGGATAAAAAAGAAGCAAGCCCACATATTCAGGAAAGTGTGTCACACTTCCGAACTACCTCTCACCTCAGCCTCCATCAGCTTGGTGATGTTGGACTGTCTCCCAATGTAGTACTCAATGCCATCCAAGGCGCCTTCCAGGGTGGCACCTCGCACCAACAAGATGAACAGGATGAAATATGGGAAGAGTGCAGTAAAGTAGACAACCTGCAGAAATGGGCAGGGACATGCATTAGTGTGAGGGGATCCACAGACCTTCATGCAGGAAGACTGGACAGGTTTTAGGCTAGGGTCTCCTGGTACAAAAGAAAAACAGGCAACCAGGGAAAGGAGCACATGTCTACCACCAAAGCATCTGGCTTAGCCGGTTCTGGAGCTGCATTCCAGCAGAAGCAGAAGTCCCAAGCCACATATCCACATTTCAGATAGCACTTGATCTGTTTCAGAAATGTGTTTTTCGGGCATAATTTATGGCTGTAGCAAGGTCTGGACTCAGCTACCCCAGACATCTCTTGCTAGGTAGTGCTTCTAGCAAGAACAAACCGAGAGTCACAAAAAACTAGGTGACCAGGGTGGAATTATCTCCTGATGAGCTCCCTGCTCCTTCCCACCACTACCCCTCCAAAAAAAGTCAAAACAAAAATTTTGAAAAAGTCACTGTTCTGGAAGCTTTCTTTATGAGAACAAGGACTTATAGGTTCTCTCAGACACAAATCTATTTTGTTGTACTAGCACAATTGGACCAAGGCCAGCAGTAGAATTATTGTCACACAGGCTGTGTTCAACAATACTCTGGTTTCTCGAGTCTTAGTTTCAGTGTTATTCAGACAGGTAATTGACCCAAGATTGCTGGTTCCAACAAGCCAGAGCATTGCACCATTGTGTGATGAGTGACATTTCCGAAGACTTCCTTCATCCTTGCTTAGAATGGACAATTATTTCTGCTTTTCATTCATCTTTCTCCTGCCCAGCTAGATTCTTCCAAGTCTCACATTATTCTCCAAAGACTATTGCCTTTGTTCCAGAAAAAAGTGACCATGGGTAGAAGCAACTACCAGGAACCCAAAGAACATGAGGTTAAGAGGAGCTATGCAGCCAAATAACTGAGGTCAGGAAAGCACAGATACTCCATCCCAAAACACTGAAACAAGGGCAGAAAGTTCCAAATAGAAGGCAAAACAGAAGGAGACATCACACTGAGTATAGAAAAGGAGGCAGCAAGGAGCCAAAGAAAAGCACAATGACAGAAGGAAAAGGAGGGAAAAAGATCTGTGCAGAGAAGGTGAACAAAAGAACAAAGGCAACTGAGGCTAAAGAAGTAAATTATGGAGATGCAACATGAAGGTGAGAAAAGAGTATGAGGAGGAAGGAATAAAACCAAGAAAAGGGTGTCAGGTGAGGAAGGATAAAATTCAGCCTGCCTGAAGTCAGTCTAGCCCAAGAAAAACTCCAGAAAACTATGTTGAAGCTTGTGGAAATGGGAGCTCAGCAGAGATAGATTCTGAAAACAAGCATCTAAGTACCTTGTCCCTACAAATAACTTGAACTCTTGGGAACAAACAACATTTCACAACCTGGCAGGAACCTGCACACACACACCTGTTCACGGCACCTGACCTGTATGGTCCAACCATCTCAACCAGACTGGAAGTACAAAATAATCACCGGGTGTTCCCGGGGCGTGTGCCATCACGTGCACGCTTCCACCACGCAGCCCAGACAACGGCTAAAACTCAGCTGGAATCACTGGCATGACAGCAAGGTCCCAAAATACAGGGCAGCCTGGTGGAGTTGAGGCCCAGGAGTTAAGTAATGGCTGTGTAATCAGCACCTTACTCATATTTTATGTAACAGTTATGAAGCCGAGGAGCAGGAGGGAAGCCAAATGTTGAGCCCAGTAGAGGGGGATGTGTTAGGACTGCGTCCTGCCTTGTGCTAAACTTCCCTGGGTCCATCTGACATTGGAAGGGCAGAATCAGGCCATAAGTCATCTCCTTGCTCTTCCTAACATACCTTTCCAGAAGACTTGATTCCTTTAAACAGGGCAGCTGCAATAATTATCCAGGACAGGAGGAGGCAGAGAGCCAGGTACCACACAATCCTGCCGGTCTCGTCCAGCCCACTCGAGCGCTGCAGAGCCACTTTGCTGAAAGCACACAATGCTCCCGTGAGGAGGGGGCGGCAGCAGCGCTCACACACCTCCTCTTCAGCTACTCCTCAGGAAAAAGTGAGCTGCTCTGTGAGGCCATTACGAGAGTCTGCAGCCTCTTCCAAGAGGGTGCAGTTAGAATTGCATGATTGTCAATGAAAACTCATATTTAACTACCTTTTCCCCCTCTTTCTGAAGCCTACCAGCTCTCATCTCTCCATACATCTCCCATAAGGCCCACCTAAGATATGCTGTGTTAATAATGAAATTCTGACAGGAAGAGTTTCCACGAACCCAGGGAATATGAGGCAAATTGAGACTGGGGGGCAATAAAGAAATTGCAATTTTACAACAGGCCCAGATTCAGAATAAGGTGAATATATTTTCACACAGTAACTCCTGAGAAAAATAAAATTATATACTATATGTAAAGATGCCAAGTAGTGCCTACCAGGACTCCAGAGAAGAGGAGTTCTTTAAATTGGAGTATTTTTCAATTGGTAAAGGTTGAATCACTTGCTTCTCTTTCTTTACATAATTTCTCTTAAAAAGGCCAAACTTATCAATTAAAATTTAAGTCCCCTCTCTAGTGATTTGCATGCCTGTGTCCCTTGACTAGGTTTTTTCTGGACTGCAAGATAGGACAAAAATATATAAAAGGTACATCCAAAACCACAATGCAGAAAAAGGTATTTTTAGTAATTTCTTTAAAGTATTTACTTACTTCCAGTATTGCTCACTGGGAAATTGCACTGGTTTGTAGCTTATGGTGCCATTTATACACGTGAGATTGTTGCCCGTGACAAATGAGTAGTTTGCATGAATGATTTGCCCATGCAAGGTTGTGTTGCAGTCACTTACTGAAATCAAGAAAAAGGAATCATTAGCACTATCAGACTGATACAGCAAATGTGTTTCCTAAGCAATTACAGCTTCAGTTTGCCTGCTAACAATATTTGGAAACAAACCTGAAATGTCACTTGCAGCTGTGACTTCACTACTTGACTGTAAATCAAAATACCAAGAATCTGGTGTGTTCACCACATTTTATTTATCCTCAAGGATACTTATAAAAATGAGAACTGAGCACAGTTAAAATTGTAGCCTTGATTACTCTATGAAAACATTTGTCCCAAACCAAGGTGACACGTGGATCTTCTGGTATCTGATATTCATCTTATTGTGGCAGAGGGCTTATTAGAGTGCTTTAAATATTTTCCTTGGAGCAGAGTTGGAGGAATGGAAACTGGGGTTGGGAAGTTTTTGCCAGGACATACAATAAAAAACACTTTATCAGTATATGTATCAGCATTTACTAGAAATTCTTGTTGAAGCCTATTTGAGGACAGCTTCTTCAGTTCAGTGTTCCCCCAAAACTTAAAAATTCGGTGCTGAAATCTTTTTTGTTTTGCCAATAATCAATCAACTTTTCGTTAAATAAAGCCTCTTAGAAGATATTTTCAGATATATGGTTGAGATATATTTACATTAATACTGTAAACAATGTATTCATCCTCATCTTGTCCTTGTCATTTTAATAATCACTGGTTTCCTGGCAAAACATTTCCAGATGCTAACTGGTAATTACCTCACCAACTTCACCTTTTGCCTTAAACTGGTCTGATATGGAAACTGGTGAGGTAAGTGCTTGGGCCCTACATCTGCTGTCAAACACAGCAATGGTGTGAGATGCTTTCTGAAGAGTTAATGAAGTGTGAAACCAGTGCCTCAGTGGTGCTCAGGATTACCACAGCCACAGGAGAGGCAAGGGGTGAAGACCACGATTAAAACTACTGCAGTAGTTTGTCACACAGAAGGAAGGTATTTTTTTTTTTTGCCACAAATCCCGATGAAATGGAAATGCAGTATTTCATGCATGCACTGTAAAAAAAAAAAAAAAAAAAAAAAACCAAAAAAAACCAACAACAACCTGATTGCATGCACTGTAAAAAAACTGAGGTTTTAAAGGAGAAAAAAAAAAAGATCCAACAAGGTGATTTCAGCCCAGTTCTCTGTAGATTTCCCAAGCACCCAAACTGGTGGCAAAGTGGATAAGCATCATTCCTCTGTGTTCAGGTGCAAAACTCCAGGAAGGACTTTTAAAGCCATGGTTAGCTGTATTGCTCCTATCCTTTCACCCAGAAAACAGTCCAATCACCAAAACCAATAATATTAAACTCTGTCTGGTAAGCATGGTACCTATTCGTGTCTTGCTGCAGAATTCATCTGCCCAGGAAAAGCAGTCTGACCATGGCAGCACTTGTTGAAATGAGGCAAATAAGTAATAGAGTGCATAAGCAATGATAACATTGTAGTAGATAGTTACAAAGGTTGAGATGATGACCATTGTGATGCCCACTCCTAGGAAAGAGAAACACACAATATCTTAATCACTCCAAACTCGGTTGCAAACCCTCCCCCCACCAAAACAAATTGCCTTCACTTGACTTTTAAAAGGCTACTTGGGAAGAAGTTGAAGTTGGTGAAGTTTGTTTGGTTGTAAAGTATTTTTTAACAGCAAACAAACAGTGAAATATTAAACCCATGAAATTATGGATATGATCCAAACTGACCATCTCAAACTTGGTTTTGAAATAGTTTGAATCAGGCTCATAGAAAAATTGGACTATTTACAAAGTCTAAAGGAGAAATTCAGTGTTATGTTCTCTCCCCATTCAGAGGGAAACTTAGTAAAATAAAACAAACAGGACTGCCAAAGCCATTTTAAAGATTCCACTGTAATGAATGCTTTAAACTACAGTAAATCTTGTAAATATTACTATTCTCCCTCTTGTTGAAATGAGTTTTGTTCTATAAGTTTGGGAAAGCTTGACAATCATCTTAATATCATATCATAGAAGCTATATATACACATCATAGAAACTATATATAAGTTTCTGTCTTCACAGACACATAAAATATATGCTGTGTTTAAAACCTTTTGCTTTAAGATAGACACACTGCTTTCATGAAATTTCTTATGCTGCAGAACAGAGACTGGCAAAAAGAGTAAATGATAGGGTAACCAGTTTCTGTAGGTGACAAGCAAATTCTTGTTGCATCAGAAGGAAACTTCCTTGTTCCTACATTAACTCCTCTGATAGATTAAGACAAACAAAACCATTGCATAGTCCTTTACACCCATGGTACAAGACAAGGTGTGAGTAAAGCCCATGGTTAATAGTTTCCAAACAAATCTCCCTATAAGAGAGTTTGAAATACGAACCCTCACCCAGACAAACTATCACTACATGAAACGATTTCTCTTATTTCAAGAGGCACCTCACTTTACAAAGCCAGAGTCTAGGCTATTTTTTATCACACCTGCAGATGACTCCCAAGGCAGTTGGTGGGTGATTGTGCACAATATTGCACAAAGCACCCAGACCTGTGTGCCTGTGGCTGCAGTGGCAGCCAAATACAGAATTCACCCATCCAACAATTGACTTACAAGCTACACTGGACATGAAGCATAAAGAAACAGTGATAAAGTCAACTTCTAAAATTTATTTTCAATCTGTTGCACACAGTACACCAGTTGTTTTACGGAGGTTTTCCCTCATACAGCAAAACAGGGATATTTCCTTCTGCCTGGACAGCTGGAGTGAGGGTGATTTGCTGCTTAACACTGGAAGAATCACTGATAAAACCTTTCATAACCAAGAACCTTTTTGGGCAAATCTTTACTCAATATCTGTTTATTAACTGAATAATGAGGAAGTATGTACCTGGGTACATAACACTGACCCTGTAACATTGGGAATAGTTGCAACACAGATATCAGTGTCTCAAAATTAAATAACTTCATGAAGAAATCATTAATTCATAACAGTCTATTACTGGAATACAAGGAAAGATAAGAAAACCAACCTTGAAACAATGGTAGTATTCTCCAGATGGAAACTGGCCCTTGACTGGCAAACTGCCCAAGGGAACATTCCATGAAAAATAAGGGCAAGCCAGCTAATGCCAGCATCAGGGTGTAGGGGATTAGAAAAGCACCTGGGAGAAGGAGATAAAAAAATGGGGGGAGAAGCGCCATCATACACACAGAGAAAACAAAGCATCTTTCAGCATTCACCACAGTTTTATCACATTTTATACTCCCCTTTTCCCCCTGCTCAGATACCCCACTGTAGGGGCTTTCTTCAAAATGCAGAGATTTGTTTCTAAATCCTGTTTTCTGTTAAGACTAAATAGTACCTGCAATGAAAGTCAGAACTGCTGATTTAAAAAGAATGGCTTCTCCTATAGAAAGTAAATTAATTTTACAAAAAACTATTGGAGTTGTGCTCAAATACATGCAGGAATGCTGCTCAGCTGTAGGCACCACCAGCTTTGTCCACTTTCTATTTAATCTTCCAGCTTTTAATTTAAAGATGAACAGAACCATTCCTGTATGTGCTCAGCTGTGTTTTGCAACTGCCCTGTTAAGCAGCTACTGGACATCAAAGCATGAAGATTATTTTCTAAGGTTGGCTGAGTCCTGTGTCAAACAACATCTCAGGATGGCTCTTGTTCAAGTCCATTTAAAAGTGCATGTTAACCTGATATCAGTGAGCTCCTTGTTCTGTGAAAACTTCTTTGTGTGTGCACAGAAGACAGGGAAAGCAAGAGCACGAGTTTCATAAACACAACACGATATCCCTGCAGGAATCTGTCCTCATCACTCTCAGTGAATTTAAAGCAATCAAGGACCCAGTTCTGCAAGGAACTGCAAATACCTGATGTAATTTCAGGAAGCAAATTGTTCCAGAGAATTAACTGGATTACTCCTGTGTTTCAAAACAAGGATGCAACAGGTGTCTTTATCAATCATGGGCAAGGGGCACAGAAAATTATGCAAGCACCAGCACAAATATGCTTTAAATGCAAAGTCTCTGCTGCAGCAGGTAAGAAAAAAGATCTAGGACAGATCCAAGGGCTGACATCACAACTTATTTTGTTTTCACAATTTTCTTCAACAAAACTCTAAGTAATGCAAACCAGCCCAGCTCACTCCAATAAAAATTCTGTACTGGGAATGCCTTCTTATGTCCCATGTGCAGCTGTGTGGGCTGTACTGCATTTACAGCCCAGAATTTGACTTCAACTAGTGTTAGGCAGAGCAAACAGGTACATATAAGTAAATTCTCTGCAGTTACTATTTATGTCCTCTTTAATTACCAGTGGTAGCCTGGCAAGTAGATAAAGCTCTGGAATATAAGCCAAGGAAACCAGTGCCTCTGCTTGGCTTTGCCACTAGTTCATTGTGTAAGCAGGTAGAGGCTCTGTCTCACACTTCCCAGGTGTTTGATCTGGGCAATTATTGAGCTGAGATAATTATTCCAGCTTAGATTGTTTGCATGGAAAAACAAAGGTGTAGAGGTGATTCAACAGTTCTCTATATACATACCAGGTATAGTATATAACAAACTTTCCGGGAGGTAAGCACTGGGGAGGGAGAACAGCTATTTAGACAAGTAGAGGGTATTGGCACATGGACAAAAGGGTATGTGTTGGTTCTGAGTAATTCTGAAGATGAAATTCTCAGGTAGAAATTTGTAACTCAAACTAAATACTATTTCCCTTCTCAGCTGGTACCCCAAAAGCACATAGGTGCCTCTTACTCCCCCTTTCCCATGAGCGGGCTCTCAGGGTGATGTTCACAGAACTTGCCCAGCCTCAGAGCTGGCCCTTGGAGCTTGCTCTCCTCTCTCCCGAGGAGAGCAGGGTATGCCCACCCGACCCTGCCATTCAGCACAGGTACCTCCTCCATTCTGGTAGGTGAGGTAGGGAAAGCGCCAGACGTTGCCCAGGCCCACGGCATAGCCCACCATGGACAGCAGGTAGTCGCCTTTGTTTGACCAGTTGCCACGCTCTGAGTTCTCATCACTGTCACTGGAATGGGCACCTTTTTCATTTGTCAAACTGAAGTCCTTGGAAGAGAAGAGGGAAGGCTTGTGATCACCCACCAGGCAAGAAGGGCAATCATATCAGCATTTCTCTGTCCAGAGACGCACCTTGGCACAGGTGGGCAGCCAGAAAGGATGGGCACAGCCAGTTGGGCTGCCAGTCCAGCTGATCCCTGGCAGGACAGCACAGATCTGTGAGAGAGGGTCCCACCAGAGAGCCCAAACACCTCCACAGACAGTTTTGCCTTACTCCTGCCTTAGTCCTTTGTGCTATCAGTCCCAGGAGACTCCCCTATTCTGCCCCTGCACATGCCCAGATGCCCCTGTAGTTGTTCAGATGCTCACATCAGCACATACCTGTATGGCCACTTTAAAAAACACCTGTCCTAGTGCCTTATATGCCGAGGTGCTCATCCCACTTTACCTTCCACTACCCGTTTGGATCTCACCTGTCCAGACAACTCCATACCTGCCCACAGCTGCCGCCGTACCTGCACCCTGCTTGCCCGAGTGCCGCTACGCCCACCTGGGCACCTCCACAACCCACCCGCTCAGGTGCGCCCACACTCGCCTACATTCTGGCGCACCTGCCCAAGTGCCTCCGCACCCCGCCTGCTCGGGAGCCTCGGGCCAGCCTCCCCCCGCCGCCTCACCTTCTTCTTCCCGCAGGACAGAAAGCCGGGCAGGCTGAGCATCCCCATCTCTGCCGCCGCAGCCGCTGCGCTCTGCCCGCGCCGCCCTTCGCCCGGCGCTTTATCGGACCGGCTGCCGCCCGCCCCTCGCTGCCCTGCCGGGAACCGCGGCCCCTGGGCTGCCCCAGGGCCCGGGCGGGGCCGCCTCCCGCCCCCGGGGCAGCCCCTCGCAGCCCGTGCCCGCTTCCCCGCCGCACCCCGCCCGCCGACCCTCCTCCGGCCCCGCGCCCACTTCCTCGGGAACACCCACCTGCCTAACACCTTGCCCGGCCACCTGCCCACTTCCCCTGCTAAACACCGCCTGCCCTCCGCACGCCCTCGCTCCTCGCCTTACCCCGACCCACTTCCCCTGCCACCAACCTGCCTGGGCTCGCTCCCCCAGTCAGGGCTCTTCAGCTCTCATTGCACCCCTGCCTGGCCGCCTCTCTGGCACCCACCTTCACTTCTAGCATGTCCCCCCACTCTTTCCTCCCTCCTCTTTCCAGTACCTACCTATACACTCTCTTTGTCTTGTACCTCCAGGCTGCCAGTTCCCCATAAACACTGCCCCTCACCTGAGCAGCTCACCCCGCTGCTCCCTGTGCCTCCCGGCGGAGGCACTGCCTGTCCGCCTCACCTCTGCTCAGTGCCCCGGGGACCCTGCTCCACCCCCACCTGCGCCACGCTCGAGCCCAGGCTCGGCAGAGCAGCAAAGCAAAGGGCACAAGGGGGTTAAACACCATGGGAATTTCAGCTTCTGAGCACGCTTTTCAGGTACAGGCACAGAAAGGGCAGGTCATAAAAGTAAAGTCATCTCCAGAGGAAGAATTTGAGCAGAAAGACTTAAGGATTTTTCTACAGCACTCCCCTGCTTCAATCACCAATGTGGCTGTGACATTTCACCCTTTATGGGAAGCGATGTCACAGTGACCTTCCCCAGGCATTCCATAACACATGAGGACACTGCTCAAAGCACACTCTGTGTACAGACATAAGGAGACACAGATCATCTGGTTGCTTAATGGCTCTCCCCTATTTATAAATGGTCTTTTCCATTATTCTTTCAGATCCACACCTTGACAAATACCTTTTCTGTCCAAATTAGTGGGACTTTTCATTTAGCGAAGTGCTACCAGCATGTCTCAATCTAGCCACAACTAAGAGGTACACCAGGACTGAGGACTGTGTGGGACAACATCTGAAAGGTGGGAAGCTAAAATAAGATTGTATTCTATCACCCTGTGCAGCAGACTCTCAAGGAGAGTTATATTTTAGATAATGCAAAAATGCCAGAATAATCTTATCTTTGGAACAAAAAGCAAGTACAGGTGCACTGTCCTGACAGGACACAGGCTTTGGGAGAAAATTATAAATGAAAATTAAAGGAAACACTCATCTACAGGTGTCTGCAGTGAGCAGTGGAGAAATTAGTATCCCCAGAGAGGATCATGCCTGAAGCAGGGCTGTATTTCTCCTGTTGGCTCTGCAGCTGAGCAGCACAGCAGCTCCACTGCAATCACTAGGACTGAGTCCATCAGGCTGATCCCTGAAGGCTGGTTTCTCACAGCTGGGACAGCCACTCACCAACCAAGCACCACGTCAGCCAGTCACCCCTGGAATGTCTCAGCTATGAATACAGAATCATCAGCCAGCAAACCAGAGCCAGTTTGGCTCTGCCATAGATGAAATGTCTCATCTCCTGACCAGCAGCCTAACTGACGTCATCTTTCTAGTTTGGAAAGCACCCCTGGATTACTATCAATGCAATTTACTGAATCTTCTGTTAATCCAATGGGGAGGAAAAGTAATTTAGAAATAATTATAATCTTAACATGCTGAGAATACAACAAACAATTCTGACATTTCCTAGGAGCAGTGAGATACCCATGTTTTCCATTTGGTTGCACCAGTGCTATTATCAGATGTTGGGTATTGCCCTTAGCTAACACAAACAGCTCTGGTGATACAGCAGATTGTGTTTGATCTGCTTATTTAAGAATACCATGAGTAAATTCTGTTCTTAACCTATACCTAATGCGATAGCAGTGCTTACTAATATTGCCACCTGACATCCAAAACTGATCCAGCAGACAAAGCTGGGGCTCATTTACCTCCCCACTTCCCAACTGGCGTGAGCTAAAGACCAGAAAACCCACTTTGCAAATCACTTTAGAATGCACTAAATCCTGGCAGGCTAACACACACAGACCAACCAACCAATAACAACAAAAGAACCCCATGCTGGCCTTCAGGAAGACTAAATCATTCAACTGTCTATCAACAGCATGTAATTACTCTCATCCAGAGCTCAACTGGCAATGTTACACTCTTTAGAGGAGAGGATCAGACAGGTGAAGCAAGGCAGAAAACTTAGAATGTTGGCTCCTGCAGCAGCAGGAATTATCTTCTCCTCTGCAGTTGAACAGAACCAAGCCCTACAGTTCACATTTAAATTAAGGCTTTCTCCTAAGAAAGCATCAATCTTGATTTAAAGACAAAGTGATTAAAAATGAGACAATCTCCTTGGTGTTGAACTGATCTACAGGCAACTTAGACCAAACCTTTACCACTAACTTTAAAAAAAAAAAAAAAAACAAACCAACCAGTCACTGGTCTAGTAGCCCATGAAAGCAATGCAGCATTCTCCAGCTGGTGAGAAGTGTCTTATTTCACTGTGAGCCTGCTGTAAGCAAGGTGGAAGAGTATCTACAAGGAGGGCATGTCAAGAAGTGGCCCTTCTGCTTAGAAGACAGAATGGACAGACAAAGATGGTGTTGTCAAGGGAAAATTACAAAGCCAACAGTGTCTGAAATGGCCATCAGGTTTATAGCAAAACACAGTGTGGGAATTATTTGCTGAAGAGGCCTCGTGCCAATACTGGCTTGCCTGGTTCTAATGGTTCATCCAACCATTTATACAACAAAGGTAGGAAGCAAATTTTCCTCCCAATGCTGCCAATTCCTTCAGGGTGATGAGGTTTTGTTCATGGGAAAAGGAGTTGACATATTATATATCCTTCCTGGATTTTTTTTTTTCTTCATCAGTTTTTGCTTTTCTCCATAACTGGGATGTTCACTGCTGTTGCTCAACAGGCCACCAAGACACACACATCTACCCAATATGGATCTCTACCCACAAATTTGTTTTCATTAAAAGGAAATCCTGAAATAATTTGATTCAGAAAAACACAAAAGTTTTCAGTACTGTGTATAAGTTTGGTTCACTAATAAGAGTAATTTATAATCATATTAAAGACTGTATTGATAAAATCACAATGAGGTACTTAATTCAATTTTCCTCCAACTTCAGGACTTTTGGATTCATCTCTAAAGTCATCTCAGAGGTGAGAAATGCAGCAAAGTCACTCCTACTTGTCTCTATGGACAGTCTGCTATCATAATTCAAAAGAAGCAGCTGAAACCTCACTCATTTTTCTCCTTACAATGGAACAGTTGCAAAAGTGCTATAAATGCAAAGTGCTTAAGCCTTCAAAGTCATGCTCATAGGATGGGTGGAGACTTGAAACTATATGGAAAGCAAATCTGCCCTCAGGCCTTTTCAGCAGGTTGCAACCTGCAAATCATTAATACTATATGCAGTAATCAAGTTAGTGATGGGGAAGTTTTACATATGCATGTAGAGAAAACTTATAAGGCAGAATTAAATTAAAATATGGCAATAAAACCGAAAGGTTCTGCAGAACTGCTCTTCTACTACACTCAGCCTGGAAGATTTTGTTGTCCCAGCAACTCAAGAGGAAGCCACAGGTCTCCATCCACAAAATTAATCAAGGTGTTTTCATGACTCTTGGCAAGATTGACAGATCTGCGTCTATGGAACATTAATCTCAACTTTAGTTAATTTTATTCAACGGTTGGAATGTGCTCCTCAATAACTTCACCCTCTGATCAAAACTCCAGGATAACATAGTCTTTCTTGTATCACTGCTTCTCTCCAGTCCCTGAGAACTCAATCTGTCAGAGATTACTGAAGTGCCATACAGGAAAAAAAAAGTTGTTCTCAAACACAGAGCTCCATCTAAAATAAAGAGAAAGGCAACCAAGAAAGGACTAAATGCTGATAAAGGTCGAAGCTGTTCAAATCACACAACCATATGAAAATCTCTGCTGAAATCCAAACTTGCATTAGAGTTACCAAAGCACAGTGAATAGCAGCCTGTGCGGCCCATCCTAATTCCCCCAGTTCTGCTTCTGCTTTTGGCACAGAGCATCTCAGTTTTCCATGAATCATTGGCACCTTGTGCCAAACAAACATCCAAGCCTTTCCAAGATGCATCAGGCAGGTGTCACTCTACCTGCCCCCTCTCTGACCATCCTAGAGGCAGGTTCCAAACACGTTCAACTTGTCTTTGAGCAACTGAAACTCTCTGTAAACACAAAACCTCAGGAATCGCATGAGCAAAGATGTAACAACAGATATAGCGAAGAAAAGGGAAGAGATAAAGTATGGGAAAATGAAAAACTGGAAGCATGCAGTTAACAAAACTTAATGATCAGGGAGAGCATTGGTGTCAGAATATAATGACTTTTCTATTAGGAAATATTTCAGAGGTGGGGCCAGTAGAAACTAAGGAGTCATTTTTAATTGAGTAAAATAAAGCATAGGAGGGAGAACAGTAGTAATTTTCAAATATGCTGTACTGAGTTCCTCAATCATTAACAGTTTAATTTTTAAATTCTTCCCCAGCACTAAGTGCCAATATTTCTGGAGGTCAGCACTGCCAAGAGATGCTGGTAGGTAGTTTATCTTCCCCAGCCCCCCAGTTCTATACTGTCTTGCTAGTTACAAAAAAAAAAAAAAAAAAAAAAAAAAAAAAAAAAAAAAAAAAAAAAAAAAAAAAAAGCTTTTCACAGAAGATAACATAAATGCATATTCTTGAGAAGCTTTTGACTAAGAGAAAAGCTTTGAAATACAGGTATTGGCTATCACACAGCAAAAAGAAGACCTTTCAGCTCAGTCCTTTCCTTGAGGTAATTTTACATATTGACATGCAGTCTTGCTATGTGATAGCCAAGAGAATTATCTTTGTGATTGTCCCCCTTCACAAAAGGACAAAAGCTGGGCTGTTAGTCCTGCCTGATATCTTTGGAATGGAAATACCTCCATCAACACTTTCCTCTGTGTGATACCTGTTCCTGCAGGTTAGCAATTACTCTCAGAAAGATCTCATCTAAGTCACTGGGGCTTCTCATGTGAGAAAAAACAGCCTCATATCAAGTAGTAATGCCATAAAGTCACCTGCTGTAATAACAAGATTCTGAGTCCAAAACGAAAAAGCAAGATTTGCAGGGACACTAGAACAATTACTTAGCTGAGCATTTTCACAATTTGGGAAAGAAAAAAAAAAAGCGTTTAAAAGAATTTAAATACTAGAGGTATTAATATTATTGCTTCTGCTATCTGGATCTCCTACAACTCTTTTCATCATTAGACTTAGAAATCCTTTCTGAAAGAAACTGGTCTTTTTACCTTTTTTCAAGGATGGTAGCAGAGGTAGGGCTCAGGTATTAATATAGCACAAGTTTTGCAGAGAGCATG